ACTAATGACATTCCGTCAGGATAGCTGATCCCTGGTCAGAGATTTGAACACGACACCTCCCGGTTACTTACAGTAAGTGCTACACACTCCAACGTAACATTTGCTTACTCTTTAAACAAAATCAGCAATGAACGTGTGTCAGTTAGCAACCGAGTGTTAAATGCGATATCTTCTGTGGCCAACACCTCACGCTTGGAATGAGTCATTAGCTCTGTCCGTTTGCAGGAGCCGTTCATGCAACAAGCAGAACATAAGCCACTTCAAGCCTCAACCCATAAAGTTAAGGTAAAGTTGTTCCTGTGCTTAGCTAATTAAGTACTGCGCCATGAATGCGTATAGGGGAGGTGATGTATAGATCAAAGTATTCTTGACCTCGCCACTTGTTGGTCAGTGGTCAGCTTCACGCCCCAGCCGCTTTACCCCGGGGAAAAAAGCCCACAATATTCATTGGATTGGAGGCTGGCTGGGCCACGTAGTTGGTCTGGACGACGTGGAGAAGATAAAACTTTTGATCCTACTGGGTCTCGAACTTCGAACCCTCGGTTGTCCAGCCCGTCTCCAGTCTCTATAGCGGCTGCTCTTTCCGAGCTCCCATTAGTTGTAGCAACAATAACAATAATATAAATGACGCGATACAACTTTCTCTGGTTATCATCATGGACCTATGACCATGCTGTGGTTCGTGCCCGATACCCCCACGATCCATTGTTCTTGCGAGCCTCAGGTTCGGTTTACACGCCCCCCCCCCTTTGCCTTCGATGTGGTGTTTACGTGTTGAAACCCTGAGGGTCCGGGAGTGAAGATGACTCAACCGCTACCTGCTGGTGTCTCCACTACTGGTCCTTCGTAGTAGTGCCTATAGTGTGTTCAACAAATCAATATCCAATTTTTAATTTATAAGTATAAGAAAAGGCAAAGTTTTCCTTGTTTTTAACTAATTAAGCACCACTCCATGAAGGCGTAACAGAGAGTGGGGGTATAGCTCCACTGTTCTTGACCTGAGCACTAGATGGAGGTTAATGGTCAGCTTCGCTTTATCCCCGGGGACACAGCCCCCGGTACCCATTGAATAAGAGGTTGGGTGATTTCCAGAGTCTGTCTGGATGTTATGGGGAAGAGAAACGTCTCTTAGGCCTGCCGGGAATCGATAACTCGACCTCCTAGCCAGTAGTTTAGTCACTCTGCAGACTGAGCTATCCCCGCTCAAGTTACAAACTCCGTGGCCTGTAGTCCGCAATCGAACTATACCGACTGAGCGACCGCCACTTGTCGGCGAAGTTAGTGCCAACTTTTGCGGATAGAGTGTCGCGTTGTCAGCGCAACGGATCCCCACGGCCGTTAGTCTCGCGTTTCTAAACCGCTCCTCAAGTTACAGCCAGAAGGAAGTAAGAATCTTCCCGGAGCAGAGAGTTTCGTCTTTATCGTGGCAGTGACCATGAAGAGTAGATGCCGTGAAGTATGATAGAAATTTAGCTGATTCGGAGGAACGTATTGCCTCCATCTTCAGGGTAGAAGAATAAGTCGAGTAACTAAGCAGAAAAGAATAGTCAGTACAGTTATAAGGTTACGGGATGAACAACAGGGGAGTCAGGAATTCTAATTAGGTTCAGGAAGAGACAAGAGATTTTATTTGGGTAAAGAAAAAAGTAAAGCTATCCCTGTAACAGGCCGTGAAGGCGCATAGGGTTGTGAGACGTTGAGGGTCTCACATTATCTAGACAATCGGCTCAAAGATGGCGGTACGGTTGTCAGCCTTACGCGCCGGCCGTGCTTTACTCCCCAGGAAAATTATTTAATTAATTTCTGGTACTCATTTCTGTTAGAGGCTGGGTAAACCGCAGGGCCTAGTGCGGCTAGAAGGATTAGGTCAATTGAAAAAATTCCAATGACCTCATAAGGACTTGAACCCGCGACCTTCCGGCTTGTTACATAGCCCCTCAACCACTACGCTACCGCGTGCTTCTTACAAAGCAAGAAAGAACAACCTGTGTTCATCTGTCCCTCTGTGACATAGTATCAGCGCGCAGAGGCCTACATTTGGACATATTTTCTTCAGAATTTACAAAGGAAGCTTTCATTAAGAGCAGTAAGATTATTTTGATTTCAGCCACATTGATAAATAATAAACCATGGTTTACATAAGACCAGTGAGCCGGGATAGCTCAGTCGGTATAGCGACTAGCTACGAGCTGGCCGACCAAAAGGTCGGAGTTACAGACCCGGTAGAGTCAAGAATTTTCTCTTCTCCACAGGGTCGAGACTGGCTGTGGGGTCTACCCAACCTCCTATACAATGGGTACTGTAGCGTGTAGCTGACCACTCACCTCCAACTAATACCGACGTCAAGAAAATGTGGACTTATACATCCACTCCCCAATATGTCTTAATGGCGTAGTGCTTAATTAGTTAAGCACAGGGACAACTTTACCTTTACTGGGAGATGCTGGTGCACGCGGTAGCGTAGTTGGTTAAGGCACTATGCTAGAAGCCTGAATGTCACGGGTTCGATTCTTGATGAGGTCAATAGAGTTCTCAATTTACCTAATCCTTCCAGCCCTACTATGGCCCTGGACTTAATTCGGCCTCTTAACAGAAATGAGTACAAGGAATCTTCCTGGGGGTAAAGGGCGGCCGGCCGGGACATAACGCTAGCAACTCACCGCCATCTGTGAGCCTATTGTCTTCTCATCTTTTACCTTTATATTGCAAATAGGATGAACTCACTTTCTGATGATGACGTAGCATCCGGTCTACGTCACTATCTAATAATGACGCGACCTCAAAGATACTTTAGACACGGCACATCAATTGTGTTCTCGTGGTGTGCGTGTGTGTGTGTGTGTGTGAGTGGGTGCCCGCTCGAGCCATCCGCTGTACAAGAAGTAGCAGTAGCAGTAGCAGTAGCAGTAGTAGTAGTAGTAGTAGTAATCAGATTCCTCGCGTTGAAGTGAAGGCCCCATTTAAAAACGTGTAAAGGTCTTGGGAAGAACAAAAAAATGGTTTTGGATCCTAGCGTGACCCAAAACCAAGACTGACTGTGCTGGCGAGGACCTGCAGCAATTTACCCGACAGACCGACCGACTGTGTTTTCGTGGGAAAGCGATGGAGGCTGTAGACAGAGAATTTTGTGGCCGGAAGGTGTTTCTCTTTCACAAAACATGTATAAACGGTTGAAAGGCAAATAACATGTTCTGCTGTTTTGTGTGATTTCATGTGACTCATTTCTTTATGTTTGCTTTGTGGTTTGGAGCAGAGCCTCGACAGTTAAACAAACTCTGTGGAAGCAGAATTCATGTTGAGAAGTCAGGTGATAATGGTATTCCCTGAATTTTATGGAACCCGAAGTTCATTATCGTGTACATGAAAGCCAACCACTGGTTCTTCTCCTAAGCTATGTGAATTATATTCCACATTATAACCCATTTAATCCTACAAATGCCAAGTGTTGGAAATTTCGACCTTTATGTATACCGGTATACAGGAATGCGTACCATTTGTGTTAACATTTTATCTGACCTGCGAAGTGACGAACTTTTCGCTGCATCTGAAGTTCTTAGGACGATTTAATATACTATTTACCTGTGAGAGACTGGCAGTTCTGACAAACTAAAATGTCTGCTTGGCACTACAGGAATGAAAACTGTGGCACCGTAGTTGGTCGAAGCACTATTTTACACACCTGGAGGTCACGGGTTCGATTCTCGTTTAGGTCACTGGATTTTTTAATTGACCTAATCCTTCCAGTCACACTATGACCCTGCCGTCGAATCAGCCACTAACAGAAATGAGTACCAGGTATCTTTCTTGGGGTAAAGGGCAGCCGGTGTGTAAACTTGACAACCTTACCGCCTTCTGTGAGCCGACTGTCTAGAAAATGTGGGAGCTTCGACGTCTCACAACACTACGGACCTCCACGGCCTTCTACGGGTATAACTTTACGTTCGTTATGTCTAGGGTTGTCAGCAACTTTTACCAGACTACTCAGCGTCACATCCCAGAAGCCAATGCAAACCTCGGGTCCGACACAAGGCCTGGTCGTGGCGTTATGATTTGTGTGAAATGTTCCCGTAAAGGCGCGTCCACATTACTCGTGCTCGTGCTCGTGTTACTCGCTATGCTCGCGAGTAATGTGGACGATATGACAAGTCACGAGACAAGCAAATTTAAAATTTGTAATTTAAAAACTATAGCCAATAAATTAAAATACGACTACAGCCTATACACACTACGATTAAATATACGGATCCTCACGCGCCGAAGCCTGGCGAGCAACTGAAGTAGTGTGAACGAAGATTTACGAGCACAAGTAAAAGCCAGACGAGTCTCCCGACGAGCACGAGCACGAGAAAGAGTAATGTGGACGTGCCTTAACACAGGCTTCATAACTTCTACTCTCCGCCAAGTATAACTAGAATGATCAAGTCGAGGAGGATGAGATGAACAGGGCATGTAGCATGCATGGGGTAGAAGGGGAATGCATGTAAGATTTTGGTGGTAAGGCCAAAAGGAAATAGACCACTATGAACACCTATACGTAGGTGGGAGGATAATGTTAAGATGGATCTTAGAGCGATAGAATTGGTTGATATGGACTGGATTTATCTGACTCAGGATAGGGATCAGTGGCAGGCTCTTGTGAACACGGCCATGAACTTTCGGGTTCCATAAAATATTGGGAAATTCCTGAGTGGCTGCGCAACTGACAGGTCCTCAAGAAGGGCTCAGCTCCATGGAGTTAGTTAACCCAGGATTCCTGCCATCAGGAACGTAAGACCATAAACGACGACAAAAGCAACAAGAACAAGAACAAGGTAACAAGATTCAGCCCCTAGGAATCTTCTCGAACTCCCGTTCCCACAAGGTCAGTGGTCTGTGAAATTAATCTCTACCACCAAGGGCGATGTAAGGAACTCTCTACTTTATCACGCGTCATGACACGAAGATGTATGGGGAAGTGAAGGTATGGTTCCAAACATTCTTAATCTCGACACACGTTGCAGTTAAACATCACGACCCTGTCTCTTCAGCCCCTTCAAAACAGCCTCCAGGTCCCAGTGTGTAGTGGACAACATGGAGCCCAGGGTCATCCTGAGTGTTGTTGAGAACAGAATAATCTATTGCTCCTACCAGGAATACAGCCTCGTTTCATCGGCTGTCCAGCCCATAACCTATTCGCTATAGGGAATGGACTTTCAGGGCTCCGAAATGAGGATTTATCGGATAAGAAACTTGATATAACAGTATTACGGCCTTCTGGGAAATGACTGCCGTGCAATCTGGCAGAAAATTACCAATGATTTGTAAGAACATGATGCTACTGTTCTTGTCCGATTTTAACGAAAATTTTATATGTATTAATAAGCTTTTTCAAAACTCACATATAATACAAAATTTCATAAATATCCTTTAAGCGGTGTTATGCGGACATACAGTGGACATGACGAAGGCGACAGGCGAATTTCTGCAATTTTACATTGTGAATTCTCCAAGGAAATGAAATGAGAATAACGAACTTTTAAACAGTTGTTTCACACGCCAATGTTTCTCTAAACTCTTAGAAATCGACAGAGCAAACATGGTCCCCGGCTGACGTCTCGAACTGAGATGATGACTCAGAGATTTCGATGCGACCAGAAACTAGATGGGTCGGCTGACCAGCCGGTTTTTTGTGCGCGACCCGGTTCACAAACGTGGCGTATTTATAGAACAGCAAACTAATTTCCTTCTGCCTCCAGAAACTCAGAACCCTGTCCCAGGCAATAACATATAATCAACTCATCCATTCCACCCTGCCATTCACCTTCTTGCTTTATTTGTAGCAGTGTTTAAGGCAATTTCTCTCGGAACTGAACATTAGTTCCCAGGTCGTGCACAAGATGGCAGTACCTGTGCCTCCAGGCTTTGCTGTCTCACGGATCCTCGCTCTGAAACTAAGTAACATTGTAACCATGGCAAATTAATCAGATCTCATTCATAATCTACGATTTTATCGGCGACGCTTCAGTAAACTACTACTAATTCAGGATAT